CCAGCCCCGCCGAGCAGGGCCCACGCCACCCACCCCCAGCTCCAGAACCAGTTTTGCCATCCCCCCCCTTCCCCAATTTTCTCCACAGGCGCATTCCAAGTGTCCAGCCAAATCCAATGCTATGTTCCCCACCCACTTATTGTGCGTACCTAGCACCAGTTCATGAATTTCTTTATGTGGGGGACGTCAAATCAGCAGTTATCAAATCAAATGCACAACCGGATAAAGATCGCACGCGCTCCCATGCGCTCGCGCGCGCACGTGCCAGCTAACGGGGTCGGCAACCCCGCAAATCTCACGCCCAGCTCCCCTCTGCCCTTAACAAGAGCTGCTACACTCCCACACCAGGCGCCCCCCAGAAAGAAATCCCCGCATCCCGATCCGCCTCAAGGATGTCCTCAGGGCAGTGCGTCCCGAACTGCACGTCCACCGTGCTGCAGCTCTCGTCCGACCCGCCCGACCCCATGAACAAGTCCTCCCTGCAATCGTACCAACAGTTAGGCAAACCCAGGCTGTCCATGGCGTAGGCGTCCGGCACCTTGTCCGCATAGTGCGGGGCCAGCACCCAGTATGGCTCGTCGCAAACAGCGCTGTCGAACTCGCCTGAGCCGCACTGCCAGCTGTGGATGGCATCCCACCCCCCAACGTAGCTGTCCCCGGCCACGCACTGCGGGCCATAGACCAGGTCCATCACGCCCAGGCCCTTGCACCGCAGGTCAGCAGCGTGGGCCCCCAGGCCCATCGCGTCCACCACAGTGGCCAGGTTGAACATGCAGTTGGCCATATCGGGGTGAGACTGCCCCACGGAGCGCTGCACCAGCACGGTCATGGTGTAGCACAGCAGCACGGCCTCCTTGAAATTCCCCTGGCGGAACAGGGAGAACGCCAGCCACTCGATGGAATCCGCCAGGTTGGGGTGGTCCATGCCCAGGACCGAGAGGCCCACAGAGAGGGCGCGGCGATGCACAGTCTCAGCCTCGGCGTGCCTGTCGGGGTGGTCAGATTGAGGTAAGATGAACAAAAACATTCTCACATCAACAGTGCTTTGAGGCGATAAGCTGGGTGCCCACAGCCCAGCCGCATGGACATTTTGCGTGATCCTCTGAACATCAGGCGACAGTAACTTGTGGTGGTTACATGCTAAGAAAAACACATTCTGCATGGGTTGTTCTTCTGCAAGGGTGCATGCACATTCACATCAACTGTGCAGATGGAACTGTTCCCATCAATAGGCTGAGTGTCTAACGACAGAGAATTGCACAGTCTCTTTCTGAGAACTCCGTGTTAGGGCACTCAGCCAATCTTGCCTGTGGAGGTTGTTGAGGCAGCAGCCAAGGACGCTGAGCATGTAGGCCAGGTGCAGATGCTGGATGTGCATCGTGAGGCGCAGGCAGCGCATCAAGCGGACTGTCAAGGAGCCCCTGGGGCCCATCGCTAGGTCATCCAGCAAAGACGCGATTTCATCTGCGGCCTACGTGAACATGACACAAGCACATCCTTGGTCCCACCACTTTGCAGAACATTCTGTAAGAGTGGGTCCCATTTTGCTAAGGCTTCCCAATTTCATTTGCATAGAAAGCACTTGGAATGTTGGCCATGGGTGTGTGAGGGTGTGCTCACTGTCGTTCAATAGCGGTTCCTGGACAACTGCCAATCCTGTGCCGCTGACCCACGCAAGGACAACAAACACTGTATTGTCCAACACGCCCACCATGGGTTAAACATATCCCTCAAGGGGGCTCAAGGAAGGAGAAAATAAGCACAAAAGGAAGGACAATTTACATATGGGTGGATTGCTGTGGGGGAAGGAATGCCACTGTAGCTGGACATTGTGTGCATTGCTAGGGGCCAAATATCCATCCACACGTAAGAGGGGCACGATTTGCAGGTGACGTTCACAGCTCATCGTGCTGGCTCCAGTGCAAGACGGGGGAACAGCCTGTCTTGCACACCCATATGCCCACCCTGCCTCGCTGAGGATCGTGGAAGCATTCTGATAGGTCTTGCCACATGGCACTGTGGGGTTCCCACTGCTAGGGAACAAGATTTTGGCACAGTGAACTCCCGCTGCGCAAATCGAACTGCAGTGTGGTAAACAGCACAATGTGAACCACGCAGCAGACGAGACATGTTGCAATTCTTCAGCAAGGGCAGATCACCTTGGCAGCTGCAGGGTCCTCCGTGGACAGGTCGCCCGGATCCGAATAGTCTGCAAATGGGGTCCTGCGCAAGTAACCTCATCAGCCGCCTTTGTTGGGAGAATGACGAAGCATTGCCCCGTCACCCGCAAGGGCCATGCGGGTGCGTTGCTCACGGGCATGCCCGTCACTCGCCACACAGGTGGCCGACACGGTTGTGCGCAGCGCAGCACTAGAGCAGCGGGATGGCACCGTGTCCCGGCGCGTCGTCAGGCTGCAGGCAACCACCCACCTCCAACAAGGCTGCACATTGAGCGACGGTCCAAGATGCTCAGACCCACAGCGGGCCCCCTCGATGGCGACAGCGGCTTTCGCCCTCGCCCGAGCGTCCATCTATCGCCTGTGCAGGCGCCACAAGTGTCAAATCGCCGCCACCGGCCCCAGCCGCACTCTCAAAATCCCTCCAACCTCCCCCGCCCGCCGTTCGCCGCACGCCGGCGCAAGGAAACGCCGCGACGGACATCTTTGCACCCCCCCTAGCGCCCGCCCGCTCCCCATCTCCCAAGATCCACCCGGCAGTCCCCGCCCAGATCCGATCGCCACAAAATTTGCCTCCCCGGCGGCCGCGATCGCGCGGCACACCCCCGTCGCGTCATCACCATGGCACCCCGCGTGATCGCGAAGGCCCACAATTCCACCACGCCCCTCCACCCCCTCCACCCCCCCAGGCCCCCGGCCCCTCCCACCCTTCCAAACCCCCTTTCCACCCCTGCCCCCCTCCACCTCCGTCCTCCGCATCCCCCTCACCAGTCGAATTTTGCCCTCCCTCAGACCCTGGGCCGCGATCTGCCGGCACCACGCGATGCGGCCCTGCGACTGGGCGCAGATCGTCGCTTCCTCGCCCCCTCCCCTCGATCGCCTCCGAAGAGAAAAGCCTTCGCGCCCGCGGCGCGCCGCGCAGCCCCCGCTGGGCCGCACCCCCTGCCCCTGACTGGCGCAGTGGTCTGAGGCGCAATGGGACGGCTGGGGCGCGAAAATGGGAGGGCGGGAGGGCACTTGAGGGGGCCAGGGTGGCGGCAATGGGCCGCATTTGCGGACATTAGTTGGTGGGAATTTATGGGGAGGGCGGGTGCTTTGAGGCCCACGGCGGCCGACGGCGCGCATACGCATCCACCCACGGGGTCGGTGTGACGTCGAGCCTCGAACCACCGCTGGAATGGCGTCCAGGTGGCGAATCTTCCGGCAATGAACCGGTCACGCACGAAAATGAACGCTTGCCCGCCCGAGCTGAACTCGAGGGCGAAGTGCACCCACAATGGGCGTCTGTCAGCGCGGCATATTCATCGTTCAGCGGGGTACAATCCCCGAAAGACACAAAAGGAACGGCGAGATGGGCCAAAGGTTCGCGTGTTGTTCATTACAAGCAAGGTTGCTGGTCTGTAAATAACCCACGGTGCTTGGTGCGGCACCGGTACCGTGCACCTACGAAAGGTCGCATCAAATCCATACATAGTACCCTGTACCTCGCCCTTGGGTGCGCCACCTGCACCTTAACGTACTGAATGTCCCGGTCTATATACCAGCTTGTGATACCCAGGGTTCCGATCCTGCCCTAATCCGCCGGGTGTGTTACCCGAGTCCCACAATACCAACGCTTCACATTAAAGTACTGGTCCAAGTTACCTAGCCCAAACGGATTGTACCGCGCTCAGCTCTCCGAATCACCCCGCTCCGAATCCACCACATCTCCCATCAAAAGTTGACTCCTCACACTACGGCACAACTTAGGGTGCGGCACCCGCCATAGTTGTTGGGCCTCGCAAAATACTACACTCCATGTGGGTGCGACACCCACTAGGCCCCAACCTCTTAAGTACGCCAAAACTCGCCTCTGGCACTTTGATACAACACCATTAGTGGTATGGGGCGCCTGCCCTCTTTAAACCGCGGACCCGCCTTGCCGGGCACCTAGGTCCTTATGGGGACCTAGGCGGAACCATCCCGACCTACTCCCGTATCGTATACTAGTATAGGGTCCAATTCGGGATCTGTTACCGTATCTTGGGCAGGGCGTTCCCCACACCAAGAGACCATTAGCAAGGCATCCCCCACATTAGGCCTATGTGCATAATATTCGTCCCCCTTAGGGAGGTGGGACGTCCCCGTCCCAATACATAGATATGGGGATAGACACATGCGTGGCTAAAAAGCCTACAATATGTGGGAACTAGTTGGGTGTCTCACCACATGCCCAGTCGAAAATATTTGATTGATGACACATATTTTTGAAAAGGAAGAGTGGTTGTTACACAGTCAGTGTAACATTCTCCCGGAGAATGTTCTTGCTTACAAACCTTAATAAAACTCTTCTTTTAGCTTATGGGCTAGAAAATTATTGCTACTTTATAATATACAACTCTCTATTCTATGACCTCCCAGCCTACACCCGTCCAAGGAATATTCAAGATATATAGGGATCACCGTGCATGTCCCCCCATACGACCACCTCAGACCATCTGTCTGTGACCCCGACCCCTCTGGGTGTAACCTGGGTCTCTGCCTCCACCATGCCCATGGGCCGTGGCTGACACAAATGGGTTGTCACTTTGTATCCTCTCGCCGCTCACGATGGCGATGGACATAGCGTTCATATGTCCAAACTGCAAATGAGACCGGTTTCTTTGGTAACCAGTGTTGTCATGCGCCCACCGTAGGAGTGCCTGTCATACACAAGAGAACAAACATGCTCACATCAGTGTGTGCATCTCATATTGTGACCAATTTGCATATTAGCAATATGAGTTTTGCTATTCTCAAATGCTTGAACCCGTTCTTGTGCATTGGCAACTGCTTTTGTTGATTCCCAATTGTTATGTTCATGGCGGTAACCTAGCCATTTGATAAGGTACTTTATAAAGTCTTGTCTATGACCATGTTTTTTAATCTTTTTATCAAGGATGCATTCGACCTTATACTCCAATTCCCCCTCAATCTTGATAGGGACTGGTGGTGGTTACTCTCGGGGCTTGTTTCTGGCGGTCCCGGATGTCTACCGGAGTTCTCGAAATGGTTTACAACTATCCGGCACAAGCATGCCCAACCAGGCCTCTAAGCGCGTCATAACACACCAAGTTGAAAGGAGGATGTTATCTTCTTTATCAAGTGGCATGTCCCTCTGATGGCGGTCAGCATGCTTTGACTACTTGTTTCGTGCTTTCTCTAAGCACACCCTGGCCTCTTTCAGCACTATTTGGATACGGTGATCAAATTGTGTCACTGTTAGTAACCCTTCCACAAGGGGGGTACCCATATGCCTTAAATGAGGCTGCTGTGCTCTATCAATAGCCGCTGCCAAGCCGCAAGCATTCGGATTGTCATAACCTTTCAATAGCTTTCAAATTTTTACCCCAAGAGCTAAGGGATTCTTTGAGTGTCGGCCATAGTTCAAATGGAATGGGGACTCTTGGGTTGAACTTCTTTTGAGTTGTTTATTGCAAAACTCGGCCATGACTATCAATTCATCCCACATGTCTTGATCGGACTGCGTATAGTTGTGCAAGTAATTCTGCAGATTCTGATTCATAACTTTAGTTTGGCCATCCGTTTGAGGATGGTACGCGGTGCTCATATTGAGTTGTATTTTCCACCTCTCTGCCAGGTACCGGTAAAACCTGGAAGTGAACTAAACATGTCTGTCAGGCACTATCATGGAAGGGGGACCATGGTGCCTTATCACATTTTGCATCAATAGGTATGCTGCTCCTTTGGCAGAGACTTCAATCATGGTGGCAGCAATGTGCACCATTTTGGTCAGCCTATCGATGAACACGATGATGGTATTGTGACCACCCTTAGTTTTTGGCAGTTGCATAATAAAATCCGCAGACAATTCAGTCCATGGTTCTTCATGAATGCCCAATGGTTGTAATAAGCCTGGGGTCTTTTGACGATAATATTTTGCCTATTGGCAAACCAGGCAGGTGTCAACATATAGTTGCACCTCTTGCCGTATTCTTGGCCACCAGTAATACCGTTGGACTAAGTCAAGAGTTTTGGCTTGACCAAAGTGTCCAGCATTTGGATGATCGTGTGCCAACTGGCAGATTTCAATCCTTAGACTTGCTAGTATATATACTTGCTCGCCTCTCAACTAGAGGCCATTTGTACAGTTCAGTTCTTACTATTGTTTCACAGACTCAAGATAGGGGTCATGACTATTGTTGCGGCCCTGAAGGGCGCCGCTGGTTTCCGAAGCTCGTGGGGTCGCCACACCTTGCGGCTCGGCTATTGGAGGTCAACCGGCCCTCTCCACCAAATTTGGTGGGCGGTAGCAGGGCGCTTGTTCCCTCGGATGCGCGGTGGGCCCAAAACGATGGGGATCGTCCCCCGGGGCCTGCTGTATGTGGCGGGTGGAGGGGCAGTCAGGCAGTGGCTCGCTGGTTGCGGAGAGACGAGGCAGTGGGCCAAGATCGAATTACACTCGTGACCTGCATGCACCTGTTTCAGGACCCGCATGCACGCGAGGCCCGATCGCGGGTCCCTCGCGGTCACATCAAGACAAGACAACATACAATATTATATAATATATTGTAAGGTGTTGTGCGCACGTGTCCCCATCCACCATTCACCTAAGTCAGCTCCGCATAATCCCCGATGCTTCTATCTACCGGTCCGAATCCCATGCTAAAGTACTACAACTTCAATTGGCCATAACTTCGCCATTTCTACACGGAATTGGACGTTTCAAGGTGCTATCGGCATCAAGAGCTCCTGAATAAGCTGATTCTAACGTATTTCACTTTCTCGACCAACTTTCATTTCAGAAATGTCAATTTTAGCCTAACCCCAAGTAACCACATCACAACTATAAGCCTGACGGATTTTTGAGGCTAGATCCTCTGCCTCTATCATCCTTTTAGACTTTTTGTCTTCGCCCCATTTGCATATTGCCCTTAAGCCACAAACAACTAGTTGACTTCTCCTCCTAGCCTCTTGTTCATTAGGTGATGGAGGAATGCGAGAGAGTGGATCAGCCACATTCTTTCGCCCTGGGCGATATTCCCAATTGAAGTCAAATTGCTGCAATATTTCAGACCATCTAGCTTGTCGCCTACTTAATTGTGGTTGTGGCTTTAGGTAGGTTAATGGGCAATGATCCACAGCCAATTTGAAATGTGTACTTTTTAGGTAACACCTCCATAATGCATATGATTATCTTGTATAACAATGTTCCCACAACAGTCTAGAATGCAACTGCAATGCCCTCAAATGGCCTGCTAAAATCTGGTATTTTGAGCAATAAAGCTGCTACTAAACACTCATTTATATGCTCAAATGTCGATTAACATTTTGCGGTCCACTCCCACTTGCCATTCTTCTTGGTCAAGTTAGTC